GACTTGCCGCTCGACTAGTGCAGAAAAAGCGGTTGCATCCTTTCCCGGCCCCCCATGAAATCCCACAAATTCTGAATAAAGTTTGCACTGCCATTGTGAAAAAAAAATCCCCTACCTACTCGAAGAAATTTCGGGTAAATGCGGATGCATTCCTCACGTCGTGGGAGGATACCAATGCCGTCAGACATTCGCCTTCACCGTAAGAGGCACCTAGTCAGCAAGCAGTCGAGAGCAAAGAGTGAGTGGATGGAAATGTGGGGCGCCAGCATTCTCAGCTCGGCGTTTACAGCGGTGTCTCGAGCACACATTTCCTGACGTTCTTGAGGGGCGCCCAGCCAGCAAAGGGTTAAGAGTGAGGCGCGAGCGGACAGGGGAATCAGTGAGTGGCGCAGGAAGAAGAGAGAGCGAATGGCGAGAGGATTGGAAAAACACTGCGCCTACCCTTTCCCACACTTTCTCTCGCATTACATGGTTCAGTTGCCAGGGGCGAGGATAAGTGCGCGCACTCGCAGTTGTAGTTATGGGAGCGTGAGTGAGAACAGAGAGATAATACCTGTCTGCACGCGGACACCGTCGTTGACGACGCCGGATGCCTGACATAGCCCGAAAAAAAAAAAGCACTTTCATTTAAAACAAACGAGCGCCATATCTGCGAAGTATTCACATGAACAAGACTCTTCTCTTTGCTACAGTGTACTAGAAGGGTAGTTCTAGTACACCCTATCCTCGCTCCCGCCTCCTAGGCATGCGTCAAGTGAATCCATGGAGTTTATTCCTTCCTCCATGAGTGAACCCCTCTTTCCACTTTATTTCTTTCAGGTACCGTGGGAGCGCAATCTGTTCGGACTGGCACAGTGGATGGGCATGTTTTTCGAGGGCTCCCGGTCGACTGCGCAGATAAGTGTTTTTGCATGTTTTGAGCTCGCTTTTATAATTAACAAGGAAGCGTTGTAGACCCAATAGCACTTATTACATTGTAAGGCCTTTTTGGGGATCAGACACCAGGTATTCACTTGTTTGTCTGTGTTTCTTCTTTCTTGGAACCCCGTAGTGGAGGTGCACGTACACCGCATACGCAAATTTTTGTAGTAGAGACAAGCATTTTCTTGATTAGGGCAGAGTTCGTCGTACGCAATGTTTTGTAACTATCGGGCGGGACTATTCATAAGGGAAATTGGTATCAAAAAGGACATGGTTAAAAAGACTGTAAAATGTTCAGGATGCGGTATGGTTTGGAAAATGGCCACTAGTGCGAACGCGAATGCAGAGGAGGCTGACGGCAAGTGTAGGTAATGCGAGGTTGAGGGAAAGAAAAAGGGAAATGATGGTTTCCCAGAGTAAACTGCTGATAAAAGTCGTCGAACTGGAGACTGCGTTAGCGACTGAACAAGAAAAAAACGAGTGCTATGGAAGAAAGGCTTAGGTCAGTCGATGAGGCACTAGCGAAGGTGAACAAAAGAGCGGTCCAGGGAGGGAAAGGCAGCGCACCAGCACCTAGAACGGTGGAGAAGAAAGAGAAAACAGGTTCAGAAAAAAATAGGTTCAGCCAGTTCAATGCTCAAAAGACCCAGTTACAGCGAAGTAGTGGTGTGGATGGGAAGGGACATAGTAGCTGGCGTCACATGTGCAGGTAACCTCCAGATGCAGGACTTTCTAGCTCAAAAGACACAGCATGTGATAATCACCGCGGACTAGAATTCAAAGGGGTGGTGAGACCGAATTTGTGGAATGAGTGTTCTTTCTGTAAGCGAGGCTTCAGCTCCAGGAAGCATAATACACGCACCAAGGTTTCTGTATTTTCGCTAAATAGTTTAATATGGTGCTACTTTTGTGGACAATTTTCGGTTTCGCGCCGCCGAGTTGGGCAGTGAAGTCGATGCATAGGTGGCTTGCTCATGTGACCAAATAAAGCTGTGACGCACATCGTGCTGAGTTTCGTTTGTTCAGGCCCTGGAAACTCAAGTTCAAGTGATCACCTGTAGGGGGCGAAAAAATCAACCGCGGCGTGTTTCTGCTTCGTACACCCAAAGTGGATCTACTAAACTATCTTGCCACTCACGCTATTGCACTGTCTTGTAGGGGCGCCCTCGTCGGGGCCAAGTTTTAGTTCTAAAATGATCGAGTGTATACATCTTTGCGTTTCGTTATGCATAAAAAATAACTTTTTCTTATAGTAAGTAGTTTGTCTTAAACATGTGCTGCGTTATTGATTTCTTGCCATAGTTTTACCTCCAGCTGAATTGAGGTCAGCAGCAGCCTATCGACATCGTTATTCTCTTTTCAAAATGTATGGCGGCCAACGGTTGCGACGGCAGGTAACGGCTCGCGCTAAGTTCTGATGTGTCTCGGACTATTTCGTTTCGCTGTAAATGTTTCGAGCCTCTGCCGACCAACACACACTTTCTCGTTCTGTTTACTTTGACTCGTTCAAATGCTTTCACGAAAGAAATTTAAGTGACCTCCAAGTAAAGAAGCGAACCTTAAAGCTTTCATCGGATGCAAGCCCGGGCCGGTGAGTAGAAACCACTTCAGTTTTTTTAAGGACAGTTGCTTGCTGGGCTAGTTGGTTCATTTCAACATATGTAGTTTTTTCGCCGATGACTGCGTAGGCATCACACGGTGGCAGCTCATTGCAAAGTTAAATTAAAAAAAAAATAACGTCTCAATCTGTCACCGAAAAAACGTGCGTTACTTGCGGCGTGGCTTCACGTGGGAACGAATAGCTGACTCAATAAATATTTCTGAAATTCTATCACCAGGTAACAACAACCAGGCCGTTGAGAAGAAAGGAGGCAAATCACTGTCGCCTCCCATGTGTCTTCGTAGCTAGCCAATATATTAGTGCAAAAAACCTACGAGTTGATAGTTTACAGAAGTCGCGTTTGAGAAACATCACATAATTATGGGTGTGGGTTTGTTATAATGTGACTAAGAAAGTGTCACATAATTCAGAAATACTTCTTTTTCTGCCACAGCCTCCTGGCCCACGTGACGTGGAAGCAGCGGTGTACAAAGGGCAAGGAACCTGCTACATGGCATGCCTTGTGAAAAAGCAGCCCTGAGTGATACACGTGTTATGAGGTACCATTACATGGTGTATAAAGTGCTGTTGTTTAATAGTTAACCGAGTTTATTTGTTTTCTTTGGAAAATTTCATGCATTGATGTCTGGTGATGGTAATTGTTTTTCCAGACTGGCGTGCAACAAAAAGATGACTACCCCCGAATGTCCACTCTGCAAGGACGTTGAAACATCTGAATGTCCACTACAACAGGTCAACTCGAACCTCACACATGCAATGCTGTATTTGTGATGTTTTGCCACGCCTCTCGTGGAGGGGTGCTTTAGATTGGCCACAAGCAGTGGATGTCTGCAATGGCATGGAATGTACACTTCAATAACATTGAAACTGTAACACTATTAGTTAGATTGTGTGGTACTGCTGAGCTCAACCACACAGGTTTGATCCCAGCCACAGTGGCCATATTTCAATGCAAGTGAAATGCTAAGTGTGCTTAAGGGTTTGTTCAAGTCGCCTGCACCACATAATTCATTTTACAAAGTGCTGAACCTCGCCATTCATTTCAGTGGTGCAGAAATGGCATCTTCTAAACCGTGCCATTTATTTCAAAAAGCGCAGGAGAGGTAAAACATCAAAACTAGTTCACGATTTTCCTGTAGCCCCTACTATGACGGTGCTGGTTTTGTGCAGCCGCACGCAAAGCTTAACAAACTACATAGCATTAAACGTAGGTACCGTACCCACCTCTACAAACGCGGCTTGTTTTGCCAAGACAATTGTACCTCAATAAAGTGAGCCAACAAAAATAAGGATTCCACCTTGTCGGCACCTTGTCATTCACTTGTGATGCCGCACTTCTAAGCTCGTGCTGCACAAGTTCTGAACTTGTCGTGCACAGTTGTGAACCAGTTCCCATTGGTTAAGGTGAACTAAACTGACCCTTAAAAGATGTAAGCTTGAAAATTTGAAAAACATATGAACATGAGGTGTCAGAGTAAATGTTTCGACAAGCCGTTTTGTCTCCTTCGAGGCTACGATGTCATTTGTTTAACCCCTGGAAGCCAGAATCAATCTAAATTTGCCCACTACTGCACAACTCACGATCACTTCATAGTTGGCATGTGAATCGTCAGAAATTATTATTTGCATTACAAAACGAACACCGCCGCAGTGAGGGGCATCAACAGGCTTTCCAACATTTAGTTGTGCCTTGTGACAGTTTACAAACAACGCCCAGAACTGTTTTGTCTTAATTAACTGTGTTTAGTTCATACAACTTTACAAAATAATGTGCCAAAGCTCATAAGGCTGCACTCAATTGCTTTAGCTTTGCACATATAGTCAATAGGCTCCTAAAATAATAACTCATAAATGTGATGAGCACTTGCAGCACAGCTTCCTCAAAGACGTGAATGCTGTCGTGAAGAGCAAGATTGTGTAGATTGGATGCGGTACTGTTTTTTTTTTTCCCGATAGCAGAGTAACGTCCCAGACTTTCTTGAACACATCTGCTTCTGTTTAAATTAAGTTGCCATACCTATAGTGTCTACCACTACGAAGTGAAATTCTCTGCACTACCGTCATGAAGAAAAAATTTAGGAACTCGCACAGGTTGTTGAAACGTACATGATCTTGACTTATACATGGCCACACATCAAGATAGTATGTATTTCAAGTAACCTCTAAAAGTAGCAGGGAGTAAATAACTTCAGCTTTCAAGCACATGTATACTGAAAAAGTAAACACGATAACAAGTGTGTAATAAATGTGACCTTTATTGATCCAGTACTTGGATAGATTCACATCATGTACCACCAATTGACACTAAGAGTGCTTGCTTGCAAGAGAGGGCTCAACTTCTATCGATATGTCTAGGCAGAAAAGAGATTGTGCTCAGGGCTGAGCAGACAAAGCACTGTAAAAGCACCAGCAAAGATGTACAAACAACAAAATTGTACAATGCATGCCTAAAGCTTACTTTCTAAAATTGGGCCTTTTCGGTGTGCAAGCACACACCACATAACTGTTCCTTTAGCATACATGTTCGCTGCATACTCAGCAGACCGGTCATCACCTGCGACGAGAAATTCTAGCTATAGTAACTGTGTAACTTGAATCTAACAATAAATGTAGCAAGTCTGAATTATTTTAGGCCCATCACCTAAATACATATTACCTATGATATGGGCTAACGGTTGAGAATAAAAACTAGTGCCTACCCTATCGACACGACGCGACATTGCACAATTGTGAATTACTCATTGTAGCATTGCAGAGCGAGAAAAATTCAGAACTGCATGCATCCGCAATTGCTTATTCAACAAATTTAGCGAAACTACATTGCTCTCACTGCGTGAGCTATTGATAGACAATGTGCAAGCTTTCTTCCCGATTCCACATCATGCATTCACTTCACTTCAAGATAAACACTACAGGGCAAGCACCGCAACTGACGGCAGAATCGGACCCTTGTCCTGAAGCCACGCTACGCTATTAAACTCGAACGCCGCAACACAATGAGAGCAACGTTCATTCAGCGATCTCGATGTTCAGTTATATGCATATGCTTGTTAGGTTTCAAGAGTCTTTACACATGGGTTGAAAGCTTTCGGTGTGTATGAGTGACTTCTTTTGTTCGGACCTGACCGTATACATTGGTTGTACCGGCTTGGACATTCGCAATAAACGATGCAAACCTTACTTGATTGACGTTTATTCCAGTCGAGGCCAGCTAGACCAACGGATGATAATTACAGACGCGAAACGCGATTTAGCAACGAAAAAAAATAATAGCAGAGGAAGAAAGCAGCGCGAACCAGCAGCGAGCCCCCCACCTGCAACAAAAAATGCGGCCTTTATTGATGATGATAGGACTACCTGCGCCATCTCGCCTTGCGGTATTGCAGTTCAGTACGCCGCCGCCACCGTTTCTAGAGCTAAGTAAGTTGCAAAACTGAGCGGCGTTGCGTGGCGCCGCCACTGCCAGCGACAAATGTGGCGCTGCTGTCGCATCCGGGTTCACTCACTGCATGCCCGCTCGTGTCACTCCCGTAACCTCCATATCCTGTGCATGTCGCTGTGCGTCGATATCTGTGGAGGCTTCTTTCTGCGTGAACAGTTTTGTGCTTCAGCGTGCCCTGTTCTACTTTGTATGTGTTGCGTGTTTTCATCATGCCCAGATGTTGCGTTCTCGGCTGTACAGTAGCTACAAGAAATGAGAGACACCAGAACATTTCTTTTGTACCCACGTGTACCTGAGTAGCGAGAGGTAAGGGACCACGCAATTCCTCGTGCGGATAAGAAACTGCGAAGGGCATGCGGGTCCTTCGGGGTACAGGACAGCTAGTAACAAGGAAAACAACCAGGGGGACTCATTGACAGGTGGTATAGACAGATACAATTCTAAAGTGGCACCAAGATCTACGACACGTATAGTCTGGGGAGAATCAACGTAGGCACGAGGGCAGAGCCAATTCAGACATACGGTACATTAACATGCAGGGTGGCAGGAATAGCTTGAAGTGAAGAAAGATAGAATAACTAAGGGAGGAGAAACTGATGGTGTATGAGTTTGTAGAAACACATCTTAGGGACATGGAACAACCACCTAGCAATCCAGACTACGCATGGGAATAATGTAATATAACAGAAGGCAGCAGATAGAGGGTGGTATTGGGGCAGTCATTCATAAAAGTACAGACTGGCAAAGGGTCAAGCAGGAGTGCAGCGAACATTTATGGCCAAAAGGGACAGTGGCAGGGCAGATGACGCTCCTGGGTTTTGTATACTTGTGGATAGGGGCAAAAGCCAGAGAGGGAAACTAAGAAATGAAACAGTGTATTGAAAATGACATTGACGAACTAGGAGAAGAGTGTGAAGTAATTATATTAGGTGATATGATGCGCACATAGAAGATATGAATGGATATACTGACCCAACAGGCCGAATGCTAATGAATGTGTGTAGAAGGCATGATTTATTGTTTGCAACAGTACCGGAGATGCGAAGTGCAGATAACATGGGAGGTGGGAAACCTGCAGTCGATGATAGATTACGCAATGATGTCACATATGATGTATCATCGGCTCAGAGGGATAAACACGGATGAATATGGGTGCATAAGTTTAGGTAGTGATCACGAACGTATCAAGCTGAGTTTTCGAAAAGAAATGGAAATGGAAAGGAGGCATTATGAGCAACCACACGGTAATATTCATGCAGAAAGGCAAATAAAAATAGCAACTAAAGATATTGAGACAATAATCACCAAGGATACTAAAACAGAGTGAACGTACACAAATACAACTCAATTCTTTAAAATATAGCTTGCTAAGCTATGAGTCAAATCAACCGAGAAAAGGAGACACAATCCCAAGGGCTGGTGGGACGAGGAGGTTAGGAGAGCTATAGTAAGACATCAGGAAGTTTCCAGGGCACACGGGTATGCTAAACAGAAAGGTAAACCGCAAGATGATGTCAATACAAAATGGGATAACGTTTCGAGCTGCAGAAGAGAAGCATCCGATTTGATCAGAGAAAAGATTAGAAGTAAAAGGGCCCAATGAATGGCGAAAGTAAACAAAAAGATAGAGAGGCAGCTGCAAAGTTTTGGAACCATCTCAATTCTTTGAGTAAAAGGACAAGCATAGAACAGAGGTTTATAACTACCCACTCCACGCACGGTACATTCCGGTCACGATCTACATGCCCATTATCAGGGTTACATTGCATTCTCGATAGGAAAGTGGCCAGCGCCGAGTTTTCAAGAAAGGAAGCCCACGCAAGCCTGATGACGATTATTGTTGTGGGACAAAAAGACACCTGTTTTACTCGATATTTTTTTAGAGTGCAGTTCAATGGGTTAGACTAGAAGGGGATCAGGCAACGGAATATATTGTTACAGCTTAATTAAAAGATAGGTTGATTTATTTACAGGGTGAGGATGAAGTTCGGCAGTCGCGGTAAAAATGGAGTCCTCAGGTCGCACCAGACAACGTCGTCTTCCTCTTCTACCTACCCGGCACATACTAGAGCCCGGCTCATACTGTAGCAATCCCCGGTTCACAGACGAAGCCCGCTGGGCGAGTTTATGTCACTGGAGGGATGAAACTTCTTGACGCGAGCCACGTGCACCAACTGCGTTCGATTTGACCGACGAGAAGGTGTCGTCAAGCGTGCCACAACGTACGTCAAGTCAGTCAAGCGATCTACAATGACGTAGGGGCCTGTGTACTGCGGTAAAAACTTCTGACATAAACCAGGTTTTCGTTGGGGGGTCCACAACCACACGAATTCACCTTTGCGGAATGAAATGGCATCATGGCCTTGATCGTACAGTTGCTCGGAGCAATCGTGTGATGCCAGTGTGCGCAAGCGAGCAATTTGGCGGGCTTCTTCAGCCCGGCACAACGTTTCGGCCACGGACTCATCGGTATGGAGCTTAAATGGGAAGATTGTATCAAGGGAGCTGCGTGGTGATCGAGCGTAGAGCAGGTAGAAGGGCGTGAATTCAGTGGTCTCGTGCTTCGCTGTATTGTATGCATAAGTAATAAATGGTAAGATTTCATCCCAGTTTTTGTGATTGGATGCGACGTACATTGCGAGCATGTTAGTAAGAGTTCGATTGGTACATTCTACAAGACCATTCGTCTGGGGATGATATGGTGTCAAATGTCTGAACTGTGAAGTGCAGAGGCGAAGCAATTCTTCCACAGCGTCCGCGATGAATTGGCGACCACGGTCACTGATGATTACTTGAGGTGGACCATGGCGAAAAACAACAGAGCGTAATTAAGAGGCAGCGACGCCATCAGCTGTAGAAGATGGTATCGCAGCGGTTTCGGCGTATCTGGTAAGCTGGTCGACGCACACTATTATCCAGCGGTTTTTGTTCGAAGATCGCGGGAACGGGCCCAATAGGTCGATGCCCACTTGCTCGAAAGGCGTAGTAGGCGGTTCTACGGGATGAAGAAGGCCGTGTGGTGCACAGGTAGGTCGTTTGTGGCACTGGCGATTCTCGCAGCTCGAGACGTATTGTTTCGTAAAATCTCGCATTCGGGGCCAGTAAAAACGCTGCTGCACTCGTTGCAGGGTGCGAATGAACCCAATTGATATGTGGGGTTTAACGTCCCAAAACCACTATATGATTATGAGAGACGCCGTAGTGGAGGGCTCCGGAAATTTAGACCACCTGGGGTTCTTTAACGTGCACCCAAATCTGAGCACACGGGCCTACATTTCCGCCTCCATCGGAAATGCAGCCGCCGCAGCCGGGATTCGAACCCGCGCCCAGCGGTGCGAATGAACCCAAGGTGTCCCGACGTTGGATCATCGTGCATAGTACGGAGAACGTCGCATCGAAGACTTTGAGGTGCAACCAGTAAATAACATGCGCCGGTTGCTGAGTAATTCGTTTTCCACAACAGTCCATCACGAATGCAAAAGCGACTACTGCCTCTGAGATTCCGAGCGTTAACGAACAAAGGGCCTAAAGATAAATCATTCAATCGTTCTCGTTTGAAGATATTGGCGTTAGAAAACGTGTGAGAGACCACAGCAAAAGAGATGTCAAGGGTATCTGCACTGCCCTCCGTCGTGGTCATAGGTAGGCGAGAAAGGCAATCAGCGTTCCAATGACGTCGTCCATTTCTGTACGAAATGCTGAAGTCAAATTCTTGAAGGCGTAAAGCCCATTGAGCAAGGCGGCCAGAAGGGTCTTGGAGGGTAACAAGCCAACATAATGAATGATGGTCTGTCACAATCGTGAATAAACGACCGTAGAGGTAACATCTAAACTTCTGAATGGCAATTACAGCCGCCAAACATTCTTGCTATGTCACCGTATAATTCATTTCAGCCTTGCTTAGAGATCGACTCGTATAAGCAACAACATGCTCTGCATTATCATGGCGCTGAACAAGTACACCTCCAATGACCATTCCACTTGCGTCACTGTGCACTTCTGTAGGAGCAGAAGGATCAAATTGACAAAGAATAGGCTCAGATGTTAGTAGAAATTTCAGTTCAGTAAATGCGGCATCACAAACAGGTGTCCATTCAAATGGGCTGTCTTTT